GGTTTAGGGTTTAGGGTTCGGGGATGTTGCCTTCGGCTTCAGGTACCTGGCACGAAGGTCAAAACATAAATAACGCTCACCTACGCACTTCTTACAAGCAAGCAAGAGGATCCGCTTTATAAGAACTGCAAGCCTTGGGCATTGGGGCGGAGAGGTTTTCCCCACAGAAGAGGAGCCTAGTGTAGGAGCCTTCACATGGAAGAGTGGCCGCCAGTCAAGGCTACGCTATAGTGCTTGACTCTGTCGGGCCACAGTATAGTATATGACTACAGATAACTTTGCAGACTTTGAGGGTTTCGGCCATGTGGGCCCGGCTCTTTGAAAAAAGCCTAGGGTTGAAGGTTTAGGCCTGAGGCTCGGGCGTCGCACTCCGAGCTGTGAGCTTACATAGCTGGGTAAGGGCTTCTTTCGAACCCTTGTGGGGTCAATCTAGGGGTCCCTTGTAATTGCATGTCAGACTGGTTTGCAATTGGAGAGCAGTAAAATGCCGATGCTTGGAGGGTAGTCTCCCTTTTGCAAACAGTGGATTGCATTCTCGGTGGGGTGCTGTTGTTTCTCCAAGCCGTAGGCGGACTTGCTCTTGCATCGCAAGATCCCATTAAAGGTACTGGTCGCTGAGAGGCAACAGCCTGGAACAGCCTTCGCATGCCCGTGCGAGCTTGCACATCAGATCCTGAAACCCGACCCCCAACACCGACACCTCATCTTCGGGCTTTCTTGCTGAGCTTGGCAGGTGGCGGCCGACTCGGAAACACCCGAGGAAGGTGTGCCCTTGAGCTTGCTGCATTGCAGGGAGACCAGCTTGTTTGTGCTCTCGGCACGGAGGAGGTTTTTGGAGCTTAGTGCTAGGAGGTGATCAGTCGATTTTCAGTGCAACTTGGCGACGCCTTGGAAACTAGAAAAAACATCCGTGTTTCGCCCGGTGGCCAGGCAAGGGCTTGTTGCTTCCATCCTGTCAGCTCTTTCCGACCTTATGCCTTCTCAGCTTCATGCCCCCAACTGTCAAAGTTTTCACATAAACTACACAGCCAGATCCATGGAGCTGAGGCCTCAAAGGTCCACAGCCTTCTTCAAGCCCGAAGCAAACCACAGTCACCTTGCCCGTTGGCAGATTCCCCCGAATCGAACCTCGAAGTTCCTTTTCTTCGACCGCAAGGTCCTTCGGGGGCCCTTCGAGAAGCTGTAGGCGTGTGGCCGAAGCCTTGGCAACAGCGAAGCCTGGGGATTTTGTTCACACTCCTAAGCTTACCGAAGCCCTCAGAAACACGAGTATGCCGTCTGCTAAACAGAAGAAACATTGGTGCGTGCAAGCAAAGACAGACACAGACATGCAAGCAGCTTTTCAAACAAAAACGATGCCCGAGTGCTGAAATTAGGCCTCGCCGGCATGGAAGGGTGTGCAGGAGACGAGCCAGCATGATCAGTGTAGTCCTTCCAAAAAGCTCAGACTTCACAGCCCAACATCTTGAGCGAGTGTAGAAAGCTTCTCCCATGCCAAGGCTAGGGGGTGTGAAGGATGCGCTCATGCTGCACGAGTGCATCTTTTTCCTGGCCCAATCCGAGACCATCAGGTTCAGGACCTCTGAGAGTTCTTGGCGCTCCAGGTAGTGAGGCGAGGGACACTGGATCATGTTGAAGTTGGTTTCTAGTAAAAAAAGTTTAGCTCTGCTGCGGTCTCGCGCAATTGCCAGGACACTGCAATGTTTCATGCTGAACGGGGTCATCTTCCTCGGCAGGAGAGGCTGTTGCGTTGGATGCGAATGCTCGAGGCTGTAGCCAGGGTATGAAGCGACATTCCTCATCCGAGCCTCATCCGCCAGAATCCCGACCAATCCCAAGACTAGACATGTACTGCTTCGTGCTACTAATTTTGGATCAGATACGAGAATGCTGCTCTCAAAAACCAGCAACCGCTGGCTTGCATTCTGATCCTTTTGTGCTGGCAGCATCCTTCTCTTCAACTTCGCCATAGAGCCAGCCGCGGCCCCGGCACAAACGGGCCGGATTTAAATGTGGCAGGTATTCGCCTAGCGGTTGCAACTGATGCTGCAGCGTTGACCGGACATCTGTAACCGCAGACCAGGACAGCCAAAACCTGTAAATCGGTTCACATGTGCCTGCAGATGCTTTCCAAGGCACTGGGTATCCTGAGAAGACTTGTGCAGGACGGACCTGCTGGGTGCAGATGTCGTGTGAGGCAACCGTGCGAGCCGGGAGTAGTTGCACTGCAACACAGATCTCAGCAGTCCGAAACAGCGCTGCAGGAAGAAGAAGTGTGGGCTACCGAGTTCATCGTTTGGAGCTTACTGCGAACACACGCGGTTTTGCCCTGCGCCCCCGCGGTTTTACCGGCCAAGCCAAGTGGAGCGGTGCCAGACACGGGCTGTTCAGGCCACATCCTTCTCTTTTCTCTACAAGGATCCACGGCTTGTTCGTCTGTTTTTGCCGTGGTGTTCGTCTGACTTGCATCTGGGCTCTTCAAGCACTTTCCACTCTGCTCTCATTGCAGATTCTGTGGATCTATCCCATCTACTGCATCTCTTTCGTGCTCAACACGGTCATGTACCAGGAGGCTGGCGGCTTTTAGGCTTCATCCTTGACTTTCTCCGGCAGGGATACGGATGCCTCGCCAGTCTCTGCTAGTATGCATGCATGTTTGTCTGGATGTATGTTTGCATGCGCGTGAGTGTGTATGTTATACATACATATATATATATA